CCAGCGCCACTCCCAGCCCTAAGCCCGTAGCGTAATTACGTGCTCAGAAGTGTCAAAAACAGCCGACCCAGTCTAGAACAGTAAAAACACACTGCTCGTATCGAAAACTGCCTTAATTACGCTTGGGCGCTTACTGCCGATGTATGTGGCTAACCAGTGAAATGCTAAAATTATAGAATGTGACAAATTATAGAGCGTGACAAACTGAAAGTGAATAACTTAATATTTTGAGACAACTGCACCTGAGCAGCAGTACCTCGGGTTTCCTTATTTTCTACGACAAAATCATTTTTTTTTTGGAAATATAGTTTCCCAACTGTGTGTAATATTAAGAACAACACATCATTATCAGGAAAGGATATTATTCTCTCGTGAAAACAGTCTTCAATTTTTTTTTTCAAACACTCCATGTACTCCTACGTACCCGTAGAATCAAAACATAACATTATATCATCTAATTGAAATACATTATGTGAGGTGTCTCGATCGGGGAAGTAGATATTCTATCTACAGGCCATCTACTTCCTTGTTTAGACCAAACCTATTTATCACAGGCCCTTTCTGTCTCTTCGACATTAATATAGTCACTGCCTTGCCTTTTCACTCCAGTGTTATGTTCCTATTTATGAGTAGTATTAAAAAAACAACATTTCAAAAACATCTAACAAGGTTAGGGGTGGCAGGCCCGTAGCCAGCAATTTCTTTTTCTGAAAAAGTGGACCTTTTCCCATAAAAAAATTTATGTACCTAGATCAAATTTTACCAAGAGTGGACCTTTTCCCAGCAAAAGTGGCGGTTCTTTCGAACCCCCCGAACCCCCTGGCTACGGGCCTGGGTGGGGTACCTCTCCCTATCATAGAATTTTACGATGTAGGTAACATTTCGAAAATTGATATCTACAGTATATAATCACGGCACGACACAATACATGCGTGGGCGGTGGTCGATAATGTGGAAGGGCTTCAGGGGTTCGGTCCAACCCCTCCCCACCCACCCCACCCCCTGAATGAATTTTCATGATAAAATGTACACGATTCAAGTAAATCGAACAAACCCCCCCCCCCCCCCCCTTCAATAGGACACATGTACCGGTACTGGTCGTCAGCACTGCACCCCATTGCTGGCTCATCAATAACATTGACCGATTGTTATCTCATGCCATACCCTATGCTATTTATAATAATAATAATGGCCTTTTTCACGCAGTGGCAGCCCCCTGACACAAAAGCCAATTATTAACCTGCGTCCACCGAAGTTAATTAGTAGTTGGTCATCCTTATGGTCTGAGTATACCTTTGGCTGTTGTTTCTTATCTAAGCTCATCTACGCTGTCAATCAAGTTGTTTGCCAACTTTCACAGGTGTGCATGTATGTCTACAGGTATATGTAGCTGCAAAAAAAGTTTTTTTCTGACGCTCATATTGGATAACAAACCAGCAAACCACGTGTGCTAGGGTCACATGAAAAATGTTTAAAGAGTTATCTAACGAGCCATGTATTCGACTTTCGGTGTCAATTTTGCCGCTTCATCGCAAAATGAATGTATTGTCTTGCAATACCTTTCGCAACTCATGATTGTTTTTCATAGTCTACAGTCACTTCTAATTACCGCGGTGAGTTAAAATACGAGATTGTCACTAAATATATATCCAAACTGTAAAGTTTAACTAGAAAAAATTAATTTGTAGATGGTAAATTACGATCAGTGAGCACTGGAGCCGCTTATAATTTCTTATACTGAGTATACAAGTTTAAGTTGTAGTCATTGGCGCTTCTTTGCAAGTGCGTTTATCGCCTTTATAATGACTAACGATTACCGAAACGAGTAAAAATTTGAATTTTACGTGTCTAAAAAAATGTGTTAGTTTTAACGATTGAAATCAGTTCTTATAATCAACCCAGGGTGTTTGACACAAAAAATATTCATAAATGCGATCAATAAGGGACTCTTTAATGCGACAAAAAAGCAATTCATCGTTTTTTTTAAATTGCGACTTTTATCTTTTAACATGAAATTGGTAGCGAAGTAAAGGTGTTTGGTGAATTTTTCATGGACTTGTTTTACGATCTGTAACAGCTATCACAAAAAATGTGCGAATGGCGTCAAGTACACCAACTGACTGCTTGTGTGCAGCACATAGGCGTAAAATGCTTTCTTTATGTACGCCAAGTTTTACTTTTAATCAGCAATTCTCTATTGAGCACGATAAAAAAAGTGCCCAAAATGGGTCCTGTGGCGTTCAACGCCATCGACCTAAACCGATTATGGCGTGGAATGGTGGACCGCCAGTCGTGTATGCAAAATACGGGCATAAATCTTATTTTACAAAAAAATCTTCATAGATAAAAAAAAAAAATGGTTTTATTAGAACTATATTCTTTATTTTATAAATATTAAATTTTAATGGTTCCGTTCACTTTTTATTATTTTTTTAATGTTATTTTGTACGAGTACAATAACTGATGTATATTAAGCGAGTACTTTTGTCCAATTATTGTCGCTAAAACCGACCTAAAAGTTTCGAATAGGATAACGTTAAGGATTTCCATAGAGTTTAATGACATTTGATTCTCTAAAAAAGATGTTTCCACAGATATAATCTGCTTACAATTTCTGCACCTTACGGAATGGAGGGGAAATAAGTAGGTCAAGTTGACATGAATTGAAGGAGGTGCAGCTTAAAGCCTTTCATTACGGTCCTGGATCTTAAGCTCATATTTTTATTTATTTTTATTCACCATTTTGGGATCAATGGCTTTTAATCTCTACACATACTGGTAGCAACTCTAATAATACACACAAAAAAAATAAATAAATAAATAAAAATGAAATAAATAAATAAATACGCACCAAACACGTTTATGGCATAGGAACACGCACTAATAAATTATATCCAGTAGAGTGCATTTACTCGCTTTATCTTTTAAGGCATTTTCTATTGAAAATCGTCCCTTTTTTTGGATAAACTTTACATATTTTATTAACTTGGAAAAAAAAAGAGGTGAGTCTAAACTAGCTCCACTCCACCCACTCCCTTTTTCCAACAGCAACATGACATATTTATTTACTACAAGGCAAAGGTAGTGTGTAATCATATGTAATTATATGTACCAGTTGCCAAAGCTTGCGTTGCTTTCGGCAGATTATATGTCCCGTCATTTGTAGCTTTTGTTCACCTTCGCGTTCATGGACACCTGTGGTTGCACGATGATGCGTTTTGAACAATTGCATCTCTTCTCACCCTGCACTGTGACAGGCAGCACGCCAATACTGAATAACGGGTTAAATGGCCACGATATCCGACACTGTCACCTAGCCGTGAAATTTCACTCTTTCCGTGTCGGTACAGAAATACTAAGGTGCTGTTACAACAAAGATGTGTTTACTTTCTCAGCTGTTCATTGAAGTTTTATTTTTGTCTTTTTTCTGAACGAAATCTCAGCCAGATGGCTCGATAAGAAAAACACAAACCCGATCTTATCTGTACTCCAATTTAAATGTCAGTGGTCATCTTTCAGTCTCCATACTAGATATGTGACGTCGCCAAGTTTCCGGGTTGACCTTTCTGTACTGTGTGTACCGGTGATTGTATTAGAGTGTGTGGTGTATAGAGGAATATACTCTTGACCAAAAGCTCGCCACACCTGTAATATTATTTTTTGTAAACAAATTTTTGGATTTATTTTAAATTGTGATATGTATTCCGCATACCATATCTTACCCGTACATGCCTATGGTATTCGTAGAGTGTACAGTGTACGTGCACCAAAATAGTATATACATGTACTCAAACAAAATCTTGAATAAGACTATTGGAACATGTGTAAACAATGCCTTTTTATCAAACGTTGAAATATACATCATGCAGCCGCAAAAAGCTGAACGGTAGTGGGTGTGGGTATAAAGGGGTGTGGTTATAAAGGGGTGTGGGTATAAAGGGGTGTGGGTATAAAGGGGTGTGGGTATAAAAGGGTGTGGGTATAAAGGGGTGTGGGTACATTTATAACGGGATGGGGTGTAAGGTGGAGTTGGGAGGGTAAAACGTATATCTTCATTCAAAAAACATTTAATTTCTGCTCTGCCAACTGTCACGTGAGTATGCAAACAACAGTTATTATTTAGAATTGTGAAAAACGGTCACCATTGCAGCCCCTAGCATCTGGAATGACCTTTCACTGCGTATGCGATCAACTGTTTCAATGGATGTTAACTCTTATAATTTAACAATATTATGATTAATTTTAAGATTGACGTTGAAAAAATGATGTTAAATGTATTCACTGGACTTTTATTGACATTTTTAAGAAAAAGGTGAAATTCTAAAAAGTAATGTTGTTCCAGTTTTATCTACACAGCTGGTAGTTTTCTGCAAAAATTGACAATTCCAGATGACATGGTTTATTATTGTACCTGGTGCACAGACCTGAACGTAAATTGACTGTAATTAATTAACTTATTATTATTATTATTATTATCATTATTATTATTATTATTATTATTATTATTATTATTATTATTATTATTATTATTATTATTATTATTATTTTTGTTATTATTATTATTAATTATTATTATTATTATTATTATTATTATTGTAT